GGTGCCCACCCCGCCGCTCGCACCGCGCTCCATCAACAGGGCTGGGGAGAAAGTGCGGTGAAACACCTCCGCGTGGGCTGAGGGAAAGACAGGGAGGTCACTCACCAATCACTGCCATGGGTAAAACAGTCGCAACTGGGGGAAAATTAATTTATTGCTAGTTAATACTAGGCCCAAGCATGGATATCTGCTCTGGTAGGGACTCACAGAATTCACAGAATTGTTAGGGTTGGAAGGGACCTCTGGAGATCATCTAGTCCAACCCCCCTGCCAGAGCAGGGTCACCTACAGCACGTTACACAGGACAGCGTCCAGGCGGGTTTTGAATGTCTCCAGAGTGGGAGACTCCACCACCTCTCTGGCCAGCCTGTTCCAGTGCTCCACTACCCTCAAAGTAAAGAAGTTCCTTCTCATGTTAAGATGGAACTTCCTATGTTCAAGTTTATGCCCATTACCCCTCGTCCTATCACTGGGCACCACTGAAAAAAGACTGCTCCCATCCCCCTGGCATCCTCCCATTAAGTATTTGTAAGTATTAATAAGATCCCCCCTCGATCTTCTTTTCTCTAGACTAAAGAGACCCAAGTCCCTAAGCCTTTCTCCATAGGAGAGATGTTCCAATCCCCTAATCATCTTCGTTGCCCTTTGCTGGACCCTCTCCAGCAGTTCCCTGTCTTTCTTGAACTGGGGAGCCCAGAACTGGACACAGTACTCCAGATGCGGTCTCACCAGGGCAGAGTAGAGGGGGAGGATGACCTCCCTCGACCTGCTGGCCACACTCTTCTTGATGCACCCCAGGATGCCATTCGCCTTCTTGGCCGCCAGGGCACATTGCTGGCTCATGGTCATCCTGTTGTCCACCAGGACTCCCAGGTCCCTCTCCACAGAGCTGCTCTCTAGGAGGTCAGCCCCCAACCTGTACTGGTGCATGGGGTTATTCCTCCCCATCCAGGGAATGCCTGCTCCAGCACCAGGGCCACCTCTTTCTTTCCTCCTTATGCTGCTCACAGGGCCATTTCTCACACTTTTCTCTCTCCCCACACCAGGTGTTGCCCTTTCTTAAATACATTTCCCCAAAGGCACCATCAGCATCACTGATGGCTTCAGCTGTCCCCTGCGGTAGGGCTGTTGGAGCCACCTGGGGCCAGCCAGAACCATCTGGAAGTGGCTGCATGCGGCATGGGGCAGCCCCATCCTCTCCTCACAGAGCCCCCCGCAGCCCCCCACGGCTGGTGCTGTGCACGCTCAGGCGTGTGCCACAGCCCCCAGAGGAGAAGCATCAGTGCTGGGGAAGGAGGTTTCTCCCTTCAGTGGGTGTCACTATTTCTCCTGGCTCAGGGTCCAGCAGCGGCCGGCACGGTGCTGGTGGGCTGTGTGGAGCATGCATTGGTCCAACTGGGCTGGAAAATGAGAAACCTCCCTGCACCACGGCCTCGCATCTTTGCTGACGTGGCTGGATTTGCTGCCCAGGGAGGCATGAATGGACCTGACGGGGAAACGCACCAAAAGTTCAAGTTTCACCTCAAGCCTGTCTCCTGTTGCTGCGGGATAGCTCGCAGGAGTCACTGAACCTCAAGTAGGAAAAATACAGCTTTTCCCCCCACCAGAGTCCCTGGTTCCTACCGTGGTTTCCCAATAATAGTCCTTTGACAAGATGCCAGCACAGGCAGATGAATACAAAAAACATTCCCCTCCATTTTCCACTGAATGGTTTAATTTTCACTTCCTGACTGATTATTTCCTCCTAAATTGAGCCTTCATCCTGCAAGGGGGTCAAGCAATTTTGGACAGCGGTGCCTCTCCGTGCCACGCAGGCGGACAAGGACTCTTGGACAGCATGAGGGGTAGAGGGCTGTGCAGCGGCAATGCTTTTTCTCCCAGATTTCCAAAAAATACGTATTTTGGAGGCTACTCGGACTGCCTGATTTTAACATAATCCCAGGACACCATGTCCTGCAGCTTTCAACGTACAGCCTGTCACCCCTTTCTTTAACTCAGTCTCTCTTCAAAATAGATCAGTTTAAATTGCTCCAGGAAAGGCTCTGATCCAGAATTTGCTTTTGTCACCCACTGTGATTACAAGACCCAGAAATGTCAAGACTAATCTCAGTTCACGTTTCTTTTCAATACTGGGATTTTAGCTGTCATGAGGCCAATACAGAAGCTAAGACACTGCACAGGGGCACCAGCAGAGCCTTGTTCTTGGTGGGACTCACAGTTCTCCCCAGCTGAAGCCTATTAATCAGCCCTAATGAACTAAGTCCCATCAGCTGGGTGTGGGTGGTACCTTGGGGGGGCTGCACTTTCTTTCACTGCTTACAAATGGAGGGTGAGGTGAGTTTGTTTTTTCCCCCTTAAGTATTTTTCTGGGTTTAAGTTAGGGTTTTTAACATGAAATTTCTGTGTAGCTGCCTTGAAACTATGGTTGTAGTGCTTATAGTGGGTTTTTTTCTCAAGCTTGGTGTATTTTTCCCTTTGGTCTGGGTGGGACCCTGGTGCATCTCCAGTGGAGCAGCTGTATGTGGCAGGAAACCTAAAAAGCAGTTGCTGAGGACTGTCCTGGGCTTTCTCCAGTGAGTCTTTGTGGCAGGGTTGTGAGAAGGTCTGCAGCTGCAAGATGTTCCTCTCGGAGCCAAAAGAACGGTGAGCAGCAGCAGCAGCAAAACTGACTTAATGAGTGAATGGTCTGCTCAGGGGGTCCTGTGAGCTGAAATAAGGGTGAGGGTGGGACTGTGAGCCTGGATGCTGCCAGGGAGGAAGAGCATGGGTGTGTGACACCAGGTAGCAGAGCAGAATCCAGCCCTTGTCATCTGGATGGCATGTGCAGTGGTTGAGCAGCCATGGAGGAGGCCGATGGTGGGGGCCATGGTTGCTCTTCGTGCTCCTGGGGGGTACTGCCCTCGCCCCAAGGGGAAAGGGGCTTGATTTGACTGGAGAGACACGACACTGAATGCACCAGGATTGTGGGCTCTTGGAGCAGGTAAGTGTGGTCGATTAGTTCCTTTTTTATTTCTTCGGGGTGGAAAAAAATGTTGATAAAGTTTAAAAAGACTCTTAAGATTGAAAATGGGGGCTGGCTGCCTCTCCTGAACAGGGCAGCCTGCTCCCCTCTCTCCCTCCTGCCGCTGATCCCGGCACTCGGGGGGAGCGGAGCAGAGCTGTGGTGTGAGCGGACGGATTTGAGCCCTCTCAGTCCTTTTCTGTTGTGTGCAAGTCGCATTTGTGCAGCCCCTGTAATCACAAGTTCCTTGTGGTTAACTCCTG